GCTGCATATGTTTCTGGGTGTTGCACAAATATACACATTTACTGTACTGTGAGTTAACATTTACACACACACGCATGCCCGCACTAACATATATTTACTGTATACACATATACAGGCATTTATGGATATAGACACGAACATATTTTTCAGTTTTTTTCCCCTCCCAGTCCTTACAACCTATCAGGCCTTTGGGCAAAATGTTTTAGCCATTATCTTATTGATTGTATGTAATCAGAGGTTTATTCTGCAGCCAATGAAGTGAATTACATGTTTCCTGACCGACTAACACTGTAGCAATTGATCTGCTCCCTGGCGTGTTTATGTGTGTGTGTGTGTGTGTGTTTGTGGAACGTAAGGTGGTCATTGTGGATGTGTGTGTGGAGCATGGGGGCTGTATGCACCAGCAGGAGAGAGAAAAAATGATAGAGACTGTTTGTATGTGAGAAGTAAAAATGATGACAGTGAGAGGTTGCGACTCGCAGAGATCAGAAGCAGACAATGAGAGCGTGCCCCGCAGGAGGGAGAGTGGCTCAGATTGACTGCCGCAGTTTTTATTCATTTTTTTTAAACAACTGTAATCATCAACACACTGTGGTTCTGTGGAGCCGTAACCCTGCCACATTCCTCAACTCACGCAAACACTTAGGAAAACGGACCGAGCTGCATTTTAGGCCCGACAACAACTACAAGTCCTGCAAGTACTTTCCAAGAAGTGACAGGATGTCAAACACATTATTTGTTGCATATTTTTGCCCAGAGAAGATAACTGCTGGAAAACCGATTGTGTGCTCTTGCTGTAATTGTTTTACAGGAACAGCTGTAACCTGTTCCTTCTGCATGCTGCTAACAAGTCAAGCTTACGTGTGTATTTTATTTTTTTGTTTTGTTTTGTGTGTGTGTGTGTGTGTGTGTGTGTGTGTGTGCTCACTCACTATTGCATCAAACTAACAAGCTGACAAGCAGTTCAATAACCCGCCACAGATAGGAGATGACTTGAAAATTAGGAGAGAAATATGGTGAGGAAAGAAAAGCCCACAGATCAGTCTGGGGGCTGAAAAAGGCAATTCAGCCCATTGATGAGATCATTTCATTCATTTGACGGTGGGAATGTAAATACATTCTGCCATCCTTTAATTCACTATGTTTTCTTTTTAAGTCTTTCCTGCTTCCTTTTCTTTCTCCCCTTCCCCAAGTATTATCTAGATAGAATTGTGTACGATTTTTTTCTCCTTTTTTTCCCTTCTTTTTGCTTATTGGACTGTGTGTTCTTATCAGCATTGCACAATGTTAGGTGTGATGGAAAGGTATTAACCAACCCGTGGTAACTACATTGTCAGCACTTCTCGTCTTTCTGTCTCCGTATAGCCACCACTCCCGCTTCTTCATCTCTGCCTTTTTCCTCTTCCCGGAAAACATAGGAATAGGAAATTACTCTGAAACAAACTGAAGCTGGCAAGAGGCTTCATTTTGCGACGCCTATTGTAACTAAAGCTCATCAAAAAGTAGGCAAAGCTGCATTTTCTAAATGTTGGAATAGTTAATATTTCCATTGCTTTTTATAAGTTAAAAGGGTGACATGTTTTAGACCTTTTTCCCCCCTAACCCAGGGGGACGGCATAAAGAAACAGTTTGCAGTTATTTAGGGATCAGCTTGTGCTTATGGCTGCCATCTAGTGATGCGGTTGTTCAAAGATTGAATATAATAAAAGAGTATTATTGCAGAGCGACGCACAGACTGAAGGGGCTCACAGCAAACTGCACACAGACACAAAGTGAGGCAGTCGCTGCTCTAATACGATGATTGCATGTTTGTCCCTGCCAGTTGTCAGACCACTGCATCAGCGCACTGTCTAATGACAGCTTGTCAGACTAAAGTGGCCCACCTTCCTTTAACATATACAGAGAAAAGCTTTCTTTCTTTTCTTTCTTTTTATTTCTTTCTTTCTTTCTTTCTTTCAACCTCTCTCTCTCTATTCCCACATCATCTCTTTTTCATGAGCCATCGTGCTTCCCGTTTAAAAGGAGGGAAATGGAAAAAGAAATAGGAACGAGGATAAAGAGAAAATGGCAGGGATTGACTTGAAAGTGCAGACAGGAACAGGTTGTAATCGTTCTGTATGTTGTGTATGTCTGCTTGTCCTCTCAGTGAGAGACATTGAAGTGGACTTGCTGAAGATTTGCATTTTCATGTCAATTATTTCAAGTCTGATTCACAGAGAATATCACTGAATTTAGGAAAATATAGAAAAATACATTAAAAAAACTAATCTAATGTTTCAACTCAGGATTTTTTTAAAAAAGCTTTACAAAATAAATTAAAACATCTGCAAGAAAAATTTTATTTGCAAAACCTTTAGCTATAAAAAAGCACTATTTAAATGGTAATTGGGTTTCCAGGCATAAGGCTGCAAAATCAACTGACACAGAAACATTTTTGAAAGAGTTCACTGTCCAGTTTAAAACAAATAAATGTATAAAAACTGCAACGTTTTGGATTCGGCTCCAAATGATCATTCATGGAACTTATAAGAAAACTCCCCCATGAATATTGCTAAATAATGCACCTCTGTCTAGTTACCTGTAGCTCTTGAAAACAATGACAGTTGTGTAACTTGTTCAGTAATCTTTATAAAGAGGGTTGAAAATAAGACAAGCTCTCAGAACATCTTTGATTAAGCCAACAGCTAAAACGATTTTTTATTATTATTTATTGCCATTAATAAATCTGCCACCGCTCGCATCTTTGAGCTGCTTGAGAGTAAAAGGAAAAAAAAAACACACTCAATCCTATTTCACTTTATTATAAATTTCTTTGAGCACCAAAAACATAAAGAATTGATAAAGCGGAGACCCAACCCCTACATTCTCTCTTCACACTCATCTGAAGAGCAGAAAAGGTACAATAAGACTGCTCTTTCAGCACTGAGCCGCCGCTACATCGCACCGTAATTGTACTGATAACATACATACAGGAAAGCATTCAACCTCTCACTTGGCACAGCTGTGATTTCTTAATCTTCTTTCTTCTGCTCCTCTTTTCTGCACGCATGTATTCATTTTTATTCTTATTATTTCTGCCCCAGCAATGGCAATTATTTTTAATTTATAAGTAGTCTGAGTGAGGGAGAGAGACGAAAAGAAGAAGAAGAAGAAGAAGAAGAAGATAGAGGAAAAGGGAGACTGGGTGGAGAATGGAAAGAGATCTTTTAGCACTAAAACATTTTTTGCTTAATGGTACTCAGGGGGATTGACAGTCAATAGGAAGGGGGACAAAAGAGCATAAAGGCTGAAAAAGAAGAGATTAAATCTTCACCGTCACATCATCTACTTAACTGAGTCCAGGCCTGCTCCCTTTTTCTGTCGTTGGTGTTCTCAGTTCATCTACTGGAAAAAAAAACTTCCGTCTTTGCTTTTCTTCTTACCCCTCTTCCCCACATATAGTCTCCTCCTCACTTTTCTAACACTGCACGACCCATTCATTATTTGACTTGTTTTTTCTTCGCCTTTGCCCACTTTTTTCAGTCTTGATTTGTTTCCACACCTTTCTCACTGTCTTTCTCATTAAACAAAAGACCCACCTTATGTTGGATAAATTGATTGATGGACGTTAAAGACAACAAAGCCACTGTTGATGGAGTTTCTGATTCAGAGTTACTTGCAGAAGACGTCACTGTAAGGAGGAAATGATAGAAAGGGTGAAATTGTTCATCATATGTCATGATACTTCATGAAAGAAAGAAAAAACTTTATTTTTATACATTTTGTGTCATTTTGTTTTCTTATTTTTGCACGGAAAATGTGTTGCATTTTAAATATATCATGCTATTGTATCCAAACTTGTTGTGAACATTGGTTATCAGTCACTGCAGCTCTTGAAATTCCTGCTTTTCTCCCCCATTCTGTCACTTTTTTTCTATTTGCCTGTCTGCCTGTCTGTTTTCCTGTCTGCACTCACTCTCCATTCCCCCACCTGAGCAGCTTTCCATTCTCCGTAAAGGCACTGTCTGTGTTTTATGGGTCCCTGTGGGATGGGGATCTTTTACAGGCCGACTGGACTTTAGAAGTCCTTCGTTTAGCAGCATCCTGCCTTAATTAAAAACCCCTTTTGTGCTTTCTGCCTTTAACAATGAAAGAGAGCAGAGGGAGGGCGGGCCGAGTCAGAGGGACAGAGAGCAGTAATGCAAAGAGTGGGGGGAAAAAGAGAGGGGGCAGAGATAGAAGGAGAATAAGAGATGGCACTGAATAGAAAGTGATAGGGAGACAGGCGGATAGATAGTAAGAGAGACAAAAGGAGGGACGGAAAGATATGGACAGAGAGAAGATAGCTGTTAATTACAACTGCCATTAACAAGACACCAGTCAGCCTCCTTAGGGAGAGAAGTAAGGAAATGCAAGAGGAGAGAGGGAAAGAAAACTAAGGGAGATATAAACCAAGAAATGATGAGACAACTAATGATAAAGTGATTCTGATGATTGTCTTTTACTTTTCTGTAGACTTTTACACCACTTGTTCTCCACTGTTGTATTTAACTGCACATGTACTGTAAGTGTGCTCCAGTGTGCTGGTTTGCCTCTGTGTGTATGGGCTGTCTTTGGGATGACTGAGCAGCAGAGGGGCTGCTTACTGATTACCTTCATGTTGAACAAGCTGCTATTGACTTGAGAGTGACGGATGACCTCGTCCCTGCGTGCAAATGTGTTTGTGTTTCCGTGTGATACAAGCGAAGCACCTCGGCCGCTCTTTTGCTCTCATCATTGCCGTTATGAACCATCTTTTTTAGTTGTGTTTACGTCTGCTTTCTGTTGTTTTGCACGACTTAATCAGACTTCTTACAGTTTATATTTCGGGCTAATCATACTCTTTAAAATAATTGAGTCAACTAGGAAACCTCTAACATTAGAACCATCGTCTCTATAAATGAATGTTACATTGTAAATGTGCATTTCCTCCTATCATTTTGTCCTTCTCTCTCTCTGTCTCTCTCTCTCTCGCCTTTTAGGCTTCTCTGCAGAATGTCCAGTAAGGAGCGCCACCTTGAGTCCAATTGTCCGTCATCTTATATAAAGACTGAACCATCGAGTCCTGCCTCTCTGACTGACAGTCTAAACCATCACTCCCCTGGTGGCTCCAGTGACGCCTCAGGCTCGTACTCATCCACTATGAACGGCCACCCCAATGGCTTAGATTCCCCAAGCCTTTACGGCTCCAATGCAGGACCCCTGGGACCCGCTGGAGGCCCAGGATCGAAACGTTACGAGGACTGCTCTTCAACTATCGGGGAAGATTCGCAAATTAAGTGCGAGTACATGTTAAATTCGATGCCGAAGAGGTTGTGTCTGGTGTGCGGGGACATCGCGTCAGGGTATCACTATGGAGTTGCATCATGCGAGGCCTGCAAGGCCTTTTTCAAGCGCACCATTCAAGGTTGGTTTCCATGTTGTGTTGGTACTTGTCTGTCTGTCCCTCTACGTCTCTGTTAGTGTCTGTAAAGTGCAACATCACATTTATTTCCTGGCACTTGCTGCCAAATTCCTACATCGTTTTTACCAGATCAGTTAAGTAAATGGAGAAACAGAAAATGAAGATGTTTTAGGTAAATTATTTTTAAAACTTTAGAGTAATGGGTGATTGTATTATTATTTACTGGCAAACATTTATTTATTTATTTTTTTACAAAACAACTTTTCTATACATTTTAAATACCTTCTAAAACTGCATTTAAACAAAAATCCCCAGACATCATCAGAAGTTGACTGCAGTGTGAAAGAAGAATGGTAAATAAGTACTTCTTCATATTGAGTATAAATTGTCATCCTAAAAATAAAAACACAATTCTTCAGAAAAATTATGCACACTCTATATAAAACCTACAGACCATCACCCACAACCTTGACTTGTCCTTATCAACAGCAAAAAAACTATTTTTTTTGGTAGTGTTTTCTTTCCCAGATCATGCTTCTCATGCCTACAGAGTGTATGTTATAAGCCTGCTGTATGAGAAATAAAACAAGGCCAGGGGTCATGACTTTGAGACAGGAGTTCATGCAAGTGGTTTGAATAAAATCAGGATTGAGCAATAATCTACATTATGAAGGGAGTACAAAGATCTAGGCCCTATAATTCTTTGCTTATGTCTTGTTTGGGCTTGGATGATATCAGGGCATACACCGTTGCAGCTAACTGCACACTACAGATTTTGAGGGTACTTACTTAATACCCAACTTTCATATTTGCCTGTTAACAAATTAGACAAATTTCATTTTAGCCTGTTTCCTGATTTACCGTCTTTTAAATAATTATTCATGTCTAGCAGTAACTAGGATGCTCTTTCTGTCAGCCAGTCTGTCACTGTAATAACCAAGTTACCAGTCAGCCAGCCATTATTGATCCACTGAGCCAGTCATTCAGTCAGTCATATCAGACAGCATTCCTGTCTGCTTTTCCAACCATCCATCTACCTGTGCTTCCCTTCTTTTGCCTCTGATAAGCAGCTTGTTCAGTAAAGCTTGAGAGATAGAGGAAAAAAGAGAAGATCTAGTTAGGAAAATATGATGACATTCGGTACATGGTCACCACTACTTAAGACTGGCTTGATGTTTTTTAAGGGGTGACATGAATATTTACACATAAATATACACATGAATATGTGGATGAGACAGTAATACACATGACTTTGTCATCTGTATATGTCCAGGTTTAAACCACTATTACTTCAGGGTCTACCATCCAATCAGTTCAACTTAGGTTCTGAATAAAACTTATGTTCTTCTTTAGGAGTTTGGTATTAACTGTGACAATATTTCTTAATTTGCGTATAGCAGTGTTGTATAAAGTACTGCAAAGTGATACTTGAGTAAAAGTACAAGTACCTTATCATAAAAATACTTTGGTAAAAGTTAAAGTCTTCTCTAAAAATATAACTTGATTAAAAGCTTTATAGTATCTGATATTTTTTACTTAAGTATCAAAAGTAAATTTCTGACACAAAATCTACTTAAGTATTAAAAGTAAAAGTACTGAGTAAAAGTGAGCAGTTAGATTTTCCAAAATGATATTTATTGGGAGGTGACTTCTCCAAAAAACATTTTTTCTAACAGCGTGCAGCTGTGATGGGTTGTGTACAAGCTAATAGGGTGTCAGAATGGTATATATTTATACTTCTCATCAAACCACAATTAAATTCACTCTATCCAGGAGACACAGTTTATCAGGACAGTATTTTCTTTAAGTAATAACAACTTGGAATAAAATAGGAGTAACAACTTTCTACTTCTTATCTTTTTAAAAAATGTTGTGAGTAGAAAGTACAGATAATTGTGTAAAAATGTAATGAGTAAAAGTAAAAAGTACGCTGAAAAATAATTACTCAAGTAAAGTACAGATAATCAAAATTTCTACTTAAGTACAGTAACAAAGTATTTGTACTTAGTTACTTTACAGCTCTGGCATATAGTGTAGATCAGGGACATTCAACTGGCGGCCCGTGGGCCACGTCCTGCCCTCCAAAAAAAATTTCTGTAAATGTTTTTATTTACTTAATTTAATATACAAATAGATTAGAGATCATTTGTAAATGTAAAATGTATCAATTGTGATTCAGTCCAACAAAATAAACACATTTAAAAGGTAAAAGATAATACTTGTTTTCTTATATGCTGTAGTGTTTCACCTGCCATTAATGGGCAATGCCCCCTCCCCCCACCACAACCACCACCCTGTGGGGGGATTGTCCAGCCCCCGAGCTGTTGGCTTTGAGAAACCGTGGCCCATGAAGGGATCTAGTTGCACAGCCCAGGTGTAGGTGTTGCCAAAATTAAAGACAAACGATTAGGACTTACTCAGTTTTCGAAGTTTCACTCAACAACAAATGAAGCAAATTTTTATTTGAGAAAATCTGTTGGAGTGCAACTTTTTAAGTCAAGTTTAATGTTTATTTTGTTAATTGTGCCTCCATGCTACACTTTATGTTTGTTTGGGTGCAGATGAAGCATCCTTACGTCCACTGGAATAAAACAACTGCGACATTATCTTTGGCGATGCCACACAGTAATATTACCCACAGACAGAGCGGATGTTAATGTGTCTCAGTGTGGGCCGTGCGTCGGTGTGTTCATCCAAATGTAAATGAGCGCAAGTTCATGTGCACGTCTGGGCACATGTTCCTGTGGTGTGTGTTTGTGTGTTTGTACTGGCAGGAAAGCAGGGCCAGTCTCAGATGGCAGCAGCAGACATATTGGTATGTTTCAACCCATTAGCCAATAAAACCACAGGTAATCACCAAAAAAACACCTCCAGCTGGACAGGGAGAAGTGCATGGGATAGAGGGGGGGAAGAAGAGGGGGAGAAACGGAGATAAGGGCAGATAAACAGTCAAATGAGAAGGGGAATGAGAGAATGGAGGACAAAGAAAGGGGAGGATGGACTGGGCACATGGATGTAGGAAGGAATTAACGGTATGTGTGAGCTGGCGTGCCTTTTGCACGTGTGTGTCGCTGCGTGGAGGAAGTGGCTCTGGCAGCTGCTGTTTCTGTGGCGTCAGTCCAGCGACACCTGACAACCTGCATCTATCACTACCTTATTGAGAAAGAGGGATAAAGGGGGAAGTGGAGGAAGGCAAAATATGGGGCAATGAAGCAGAAAGAGAGAGAGAGAACATGAGTGAAAAAGAAAAGGAAAAGAGAGAAGGAAAGATGGAGTTAGGAAAGGCCACAAGAAAAGATCAAGACTGTCGGTGGGATTGAAGAGAACTCTTTTCATACTGTCTGAAACGTTTTAAATAAAACAAATAACTCTAAAGTAAACTTATTAAATTTGCTAAAACGCAAACAATGATTATGTAGAGTGTTGAAGTATATTCTGAGGTAACAACTGGTTCAGATTTGGCTGTTTTATCATATTGTTTCTGTCCAGTTAGAAGTCTAAGTAAAGCCAAGCGATAATATCCCAAAGCATGGTGGAAGTGGAGAGATTAGATTTAAGTTTAGAAAGAAAGAAGGAAACCAAGCATGACAATGGATGGTCTAGGTACCATATTCACATGGCACAGTCTGCACAACGGAGATCAATTGTCATGCAGCGAGTGGACGTATACACACATCTCAAAAGAGATTGCAGGGGATTTAAAGCCCTCTTATATCTCCCCATTATTCACATACACACACAGCCCTCAAAACATGTCTGATCTAGTTTGCTATAGTGAACCATTAGACTCACAGAGATAGACACACACACACACACACACACACACACACACACACACACACACACACACGCATGGGAACATTAAAATTCAGATATAAAGCACTAGAATTCCCAACTATTTCCACACTCTGACAGGGAGTGTTTGGGTCGGAGCATTCAGAAACCATAACGCCAACCGACACATACAGTAGGTTGCATATTTTTATACCATACTTTGTGATGTAATTTAGGCCAACACAAAACAATTTTCATAAGCAAACTAATATTACAGTGCAGCTGGCAGAGGTAGGTTGGTGTACAGTAAAAAAAAAATTGAGAAATATTATTCCTTTCACTTTTTTCACTTTATCATCAATATAAAAATGCTATCATTCCAACCTTTTTCTATTTTATTTATATTTTAAAACATTTTTCTTTAGGTTAAAACACACTGCATTTGATTTCAGTACTGCTTGCTCTCAAAATGGCTCTTCAGTTCCGTCAATGAAGGCCCTACCTGTTCCTTTGAAATAACAAGGCCTTTTCCTGAGTGCCCATTAAGCCAGGCCGATCCCGTGTCATTAGCGCATTTAGGCTCACTACGAGGGAAGTATCCCACTTAACAGCAGAATTAATCTGGTCCTCCTGTATCATCAGCATATAAGGGCTGGATGTGAGCTAACTAGTCCCATTAGTGGCGTCTATTAGAGTGTAAGACTTCCTTCAGCATTTAGCATGTTTAGCCTTTAACTAACAAGGGCAATTAAAGGGTGTCTTTTCACCCATTAGGAAGCGTTTGAGCATTTAGCCTTTTCCCAAGCTAACTAGCTCCTTAATCAACCCAGTAATGAGAAAACATCCTCTTCACAGCTGCAGTCAATAGTAATCACTGTTTACTCTGTTTCAGTGGGAGATGTATCAGCTTACTTGGGCACTGTAGCTGTCAGATAGGCGTTGGAGGAAGAGATACATTTGTTTTTGGTTAAGATCTTGGCAAACGAAAACAAACTGATTAAGCTCCAAATTGTTGCAACAAATCCACAAATGTGTGATCAAATGTGGAAACGAGTAAAGGAGGATTCGATAATTGTGTCTTTCTTATGTTAGAACAGAAACAGTTTTTCTCTTTATCTTTATGTTTAAGTTTCTGGTGTCTCACAGCTTGTCTCCCTGCATGCCTGTCTGTCTGCCTCTTGATGTATCTATCTGAAATGAAACCTGTCCCTGTGTTCTCCTCCAACATGTTTACGTGCCACAGGCAACATTGAGTACAGCTGTCCAGCCACCAATGAGTGTGAGATCACCAAGAGGAGACGCAAATCGTGCCAGGCGTGCCGCTTTATGAAGTGTCTGACCGTTGGCATGCTGAGAGAGGGTAAGGGAAAAGGTCTCTTCCTTATTTCTTTCCTCCTAACTTCTTTACGTGTAATATTTTAAAGACTGTTTGATGTAACTACTTTCAAATAAGGCCAGACCCAAAGATTTCTGCTAGTCTAAATACATCATTTAGTATCATGTCGGTCATATTCAAATACTGAATTCTAGCTAACAACTAAAACCAAAAAGACACATTGCCTCTTATAGTGTGAGCAGGTTTATTGTTAAATGTGGACCTAAAGTTAGATAAATATTGAAAGAAACAGTTACATAAATATAGCGAATTATTGCAAAAATGTGTTGTGAATGGACAACTAATACAGCAACATGCATAAAGACGTTGGTGAAGTACTCGTGTCAAACAATGTACATGTAACAACCTGAAGAATACTCTCTAAGTCTTGTTTTTATACGTTTTTTTTTTGTTTGTTTGTTTGTAGTAATTTTATTATTTTTGACTGACTTTTTTAATAACACCATGTTCTATACATCTGTCAAAACCTAGTGCTGAAAAAATGTACTTATCTTCTTGCAATGTTCCCATAATTTTAAGTCCCCAACTAGTCCCCCAACAGTCACAGCCCAATGAAATACTATGTTAAGAGTAAATGTAGTCAAAGGCCTGCCTCCAGTCTCTAACACCTTTGTTTTGCCTCATATACTTGAAGTAAAAATGCAGATAATAACTCGTTCTTTCAGTTCTTGTTTAGCGATGTAGAAAGCCAGAAAACATGGGAGATCTTCTGCCCCATTCACCACTTTGATTAAATACACTCACTCACTCATTTTCACATTCCCATGTTGCCTTTTGCTTTCTTCTTTCTCTCCTGTCTGCCCACCTCTGACCTTCCTACTCCCACTGCTCTCCCAACTATGAAAAGAGGTAGAAGAGTGGCAGGGGATGAAGAAGAGGGTAGATAGAGATATAGGGAGGGGGGAAGGCGGGAGAAGCCTCGGGGAAGGGAGGAAAGGACAGCGGGAGGGAGGGGTGGGGGAAAGAGATAGATTTATAGGAGCTGAGGAGAGGGACCAAGGGAGGATGAGAGGCAGGGAAGGGGAGGATGGTTGAATGAGGCAGAAAGTGTGTGAGAGTACAGAGAGAGGAGAGGAGAGGAGAAAAGGGTCAAGGTTGTAATTGATGGGAGACCTGGCCTACGCCCCCCCCCCTCCCTTACAGTGGTCAGGGAGCGTGCCTGTGCCGACGCCTGCCAGGCCTCCCTCCATCCATTGCTGTCTTCATCACTTCTCTGCTCCTCTCCCACTCAGTGTTACTGCACTCCTTCTGATGCTTCTCCTGCCTGTCGCTCATTCACTAGCTGCGTTTCCATTGACCATGAAAATTAGAATTTCGAAAATAAATTTGCTCAATGGAAACACGTCGATTTCGAAAAAAAATTATGTTTTTCGACAAAATGTTTTAGTGCTAGGATGAGGTGGTATTTTGGCCGTATTGAAATTGGTGTGTTTCGAAAAACTGCAATGGAAACAGTTTTTTTCGCATCATGGGAGTCACGTGATCAACAACCGGCTGTTTCTACTGGCGAAAAAGACGATGACGAAGATAACAGGAAGTAGAAATAGTAGTAATATCACAGAAGTAGTATAAAATAGTAAACTCACCGACTACAATTTCCCAAAAACGCAGCATACGTAGCCGCTCCCAAGTAGGGACTTGTCTCTGGAAAGCCTCGATAAAAGACGTCGATGTCTCCTCTGATGATGAGCGCTAGTGTCGTGGTAGCAACATGCTATGTATTTACATCCATCCCCGCCATGTTTATAATGAGTTATCACGAGAACAAACGTATTCACGCGTGACTTTAATAGCATTTCTTACTTAATGGAAACACCACAGTTGCGAAACTGTGTTTTTCGACATTAACAGAATATCGACAAAGTTTTGCGCACATTTGCAATGGAAACGCAGCTACTGTTCTATTCAGTCACAGGGTCGTGTATCCAGTCAACACTAAAATGAAACGTACCTGCTGCTTTCCATCAACTAAGATACGATCACCCTAAATAGACTGATAGAACGTTGCTTTAAATCTCTTTTTTTAATCACTGGCAGCAAGCTGAAATTGACTTCTCTGGGAAATCAAAAGCATCTGTCTCTCTGTTGTTGTTTTTTTGCACACACACATAAATACACTACATTCCTAACAAGCTGCTGTCTTAGCATTTGTTCTCCCAGTTGACATAGCTGACATAGCAGAACCAATGTCTCATGTCTCCAGTATTATCTTGTGTATGTGGCCACAAACACACACACATGCCTGTAGTAGCATGTATTATTGGCAGTTTCAACAATATCATAGTTAACGGATACAGTCTGCATCCTTCCACTCGACACAGAAACCACATTGCTCTTGTTCATAAAGTGTCTACAAGACATTTTATTTATGGCTAGTTGTATAAAAAGTGACACATTGGGGGTGAAAAATAGTTTTTTATCAGCTTGAAAACATCATAATATGATCTGTAACCTTGCTGCCAAACTAAAACCCTAATTTAAAACATCACATTTTAGGGCTCACAATGTTACTGAGTCATTCAGATTTTATAAAGGTAACGTAAGTTACATTCCCTGTTCAGATCCAGAGAAATTCACTTTCCATTAGGGGTTCAACAATACATGTACCCGTATCGAACAGTGCTTTAGGTTCAATACACACTTGTATCGAACTGTAAGAAAATTTGTGTTCAATAAACTGAAGTCGATATTAAAAACACCATTGTTAAATAAAAGGATTTGTAGAAGGAATCAAACCATACAACACCAGAATTCTGGATCTGAGTGAGGTTTATTGTCACTTGAGCTGACAGGAAACCAACACTGGCGAAAAACCAGGAAGTTCATGTATTTATACACCTTCTTCAGGGCCTGCGTTCGCCCCCTACTGACCTACGGCTGAATCACAGGCATTCAGACAAAATTCTCACCTACTGTTCTCATAACGGTTGATTATGTGTTGTTATAATTCGGACATGTAACTAATCTATTATCAATCAAAACATAATAGATTAAACATTGTCAACATTACAAAAAGGAAAACCTAAAAATATAGTGTTGTGCTTTTAACATCAGTGCTAACCTCTAATAACTTTAAATTTCTTCAGAACAATACAGATTTTTAAAATTTAGTTTATCAACTTGTCTTCTGAAGATGCTCTGTGTTGAAGGATCAGCGGATCTGTGTTTGACTACTCCACCTAGGCTGCATTGTCAAGCGTAGATCCACAGAGAAACTTGCTTTTTCAACAACATTTAATTTAAAAAAATGTACTTTTGGGGTTAAACAAATGGTCATAATTAATTTAAATGAATTACACGTTAAAAAAGGCATGGAAATTTCTTTTCTTTGTATCGAAAAAATATCGACACTAAAGTATTGAACTGAACCGTATCGTGAATTTTCTGTGTCATTGCACCCCTACTTTCCATGTGTCCACTTTCCCAGTTTTAACTTCAAATAATGTTGCATTCACTGAGAAATGTGAGGACAAAACAGTTTCACTTCTGCCTTTTTTGCCATGAAATGAAAATTCACAGCAGAAATATTTCACAAAAGTTACTAATTATCAAATAAATGTTTTTTTTCTTTATCTTATCAAGTGTTTCATATCCTAATTAGAGAATCCGGCATAACTTTATTAGAAAATTCAAATTCTCTATACCACACGGAATGCATTAGCAACACTGGCAAAAGTTATCACTGTTTCAAATGGTTCCATAAAAAAACAACCGTATATGTTTGCATGTTAAATTTTCAGGAGGAAAAAATCCATGTTGAAAATTCAGGTTTATGTGTCACATATAACTATTTTTCCAAGACTTCAAGAAACCGTAAATTTGCATGTTTTGTTTGAAATTTGAACTTTTGAGAGAGTACAAGCTCCAACATCAGACTGATATATTAAAAAAATAAAAAGTTTTCTAAGTCATTCCACCATAAAGGAATGTGCTTTATGTTTGTATGTATGTAACTGAGGGGCATATGTTTGTGTGTGTCTTCTGAGGCAAACAAATAGCTGCCTTTTGTTGCTACTGCTCCCCTGCTCTGCACACATATATCACATAGGGCTGCATATCTATACATCAACATGACAGACCCCAGCCACCCCATTTGTTGTGCAGACTGTGAATTTAATACAAGGGGGCCAACTCTACATATGAATAAGGCTCATTTGAAAAACTGATGCCACCATTTTCTGATGTTTCCTTATTTTCTTATTTTGCTTGTTTGTTTGTTTTAAACAACAGTTTAAGTGTGTAGGAGAAACTAACTTTTCTAAAGATTTTTCTAGTCTAATATTAATATTTAGCAAAAGATAAAATAAAGCAAAAAAGCCATAGGAAAACAACTACTAACAAGTAATGTGCAAAAAACTTAGGGTTGGGCAATATTGGCAAAATAATTTATCACAATTAATTGGGGCATTTAGCTGATAACAATTAATGTGACAACTATTGGATGACAATTGTACTTGCGTGTAGCCAATGTTGTGGCCTTGGTCCACATTTTCTGGCTTTCCCCATATTCCTGTTTATGACAGTGCTAGCCTGATAGTGACAGCGTTGCACACAAGAACACGTCATCATCGCGTGGCACTAATTGCAGTAATTGTAAAATGGCAAATATTAATTGCCGACAGTTTTTTCTGAAAATAATTGCACATTGCAAATTTGCCTAGTCCTAATAACACTATCCAGTGATACCTGACTGCGTCTAATCAGCCACAAAGACCCCAACACACAATTCCCGAGGTCCAAAGCATTCATTTCTAATATCGCTTTGCTGTTTTCTGTTTGTGTTATGACTGTTCAGATGGCAATATTAGGCAGGTGTTCATAATGGGATGGCCGATTGTTGTCTAACAAACTGGGATTAAAATACTTAAAGGAGACCAATTATGGGTCCTAGAAATTTTTATGGTATGTCTGTGGGCTAACCAGACCATGTTCATTCAATTTAATGCACAAAATAATTCTCAGATAATAAAATTTCC